GTTTAAAAATGCTAAATATATATGCACATAAAGCATTTCAAAATACATAAATTTTAAAAATGACAGACTGAAGGGGGAAGAAATCCACAATTGTAGTCGATGTCAGTGCTCCTTTATCATAGTCGACAGAACAAGTAGATAGAGAATTAGGATATAGAAAACCTGAACAAAACTAATACCAGCTTGACCAAATTGACATTTATAGAACAACAGAAGATACATTATTTTAAAATGCATAAGGAAAATTGAACAAGATAGATCATCTGGGTCATAATAGAAGCCTTCAGAAATTTAAAAGAAACTGTATGATCGTATAATAATGTGATTAAACTAGAAATTACAGAAATAGATCTGAAAAAAATTTAAACAACACACTGCTACATAACCTGTAGGTCAATAGGAAATCTCAAGGGATATTAAAAATATTTTAGTGAATGAAAATAAAACAATTTATAAATAAAAATATTTAACTGAATGAAAATAAAAATATAACATATCAAAAATTTGTGGATTGCAGCTAACATAGTACTTAGAGAAAAATTTACAGAATTAAATGTTTATGTTAGAACAGAATAAGTGTTTAAAATTAATTTATACTTCTACCCTAGAAAATAGAAAAAAGACCTAATTAAATCCAAATACAGGAGAAGGAAGAAAAATAATAAAGATAAGAGAAAAAATTAGTGAAATTGAAAAGAGAAAAACAATAAAGAAAGTCAGCAAAACCAAAAGCTGATTATTTGAAAATAACAATAAAATTGATTTATTTTTAAGCAGACTGATCAAGAAACATATAAGACATACAAATACTACCAGCATCAGTATGAAATAGCATACATAATGTCCAACACTGTGCATGTTAAAAAGATAGTAAGCTTATGATATCAGCAGGTCTATGCCCGTTAAGTTCAGGAACTTAAATGAAATGGGCCAAGTTCTTGAAAGACACAATTTGCCAAAATGAATTAAAAAGAAATAGATAACTTGAATAGCCCAATATTGGTCAAGCAAAGTGAATCATAGTTAAACATTTGTAAAAAGGAATATTCTAGGCTCCTATGATTTTACTAGCAAATTCTACCAAACCCTTAAGGATAAAATAATGCTAATTCTATACTACCTCTTCCAAAAACTAGGAGATTAGAGAATACATTTCAAATCACTTCATTAGGGCAACATTTTCCTTATCCTAAAAGTAGACAAAGACCTTACAACAAACAAAACTACATGCCAGTATGATTTCTAAACATAGACCACCAAATCTTTAATAGAATATTAGTAAATGGAATCCAATATATAAATACATAAAAATACAATACTTAACAACCAAATGAGGTATGTCTCAAGATGCAAGTCTGGTACAACATTAAAAACTCAACCAATGTATTTCACTGTTTTTACAGACTAAATATTGTTGAGATTGGCAATTCTCTCTACTTTTATCTATAGATTCAATGCAATCCCTATCAAAATCTGTGCAAGCTTTTTTGCTGATGTCAACATACTGATTCTAGAATTTATATAAAGAAAGGAACTACAAAAGCCAAAATAATTTCTAGAAAGAACAGAGTTGGAGTTCTCAGAATACTGGATTTCCATACTTACTATAAATTACAGTAATCAAGACTGTGGTTGTAGCAGAAGAATAAGTCTGGAGTTAGGCAAAGGTTTTTCAGGTAGATACCACAAAAACAACTATTAAAGAAAAAACTTGATAAATTGGATTAAGATCAAAACCTTTTACTCTTCAAAAGATATTGTTAATAGAACAAAAGGCAAGTCACAAATTGGGAGAGAATATTTGCAAATTACATTTGTGACAATGAACTTCTATCCAGGATATACGTACATATATATGTATACACAATTTGTATACATATATATCCATACGTAAATGTATATATAGCAATTTATGTGTGTATACACATATGTATCCTGGATATATATATGTGCATATATGTGTATATATATGTTGATATACATATATATGTTTTTATATATACATATATATGGCAATGAACTTGCATCCAGGATAAACATACATATACATGTATATATAAATTTATAAACATATATATAGAAATATAGGTATAGGTGTATGTGTACATATGTATATATAATTATATATATTATATATTCATATATAAAAAATGACTGAAATTTCAATACAAAATGGGCAAAAGAAGATAGATGTATTGCAAATAAGCATATGAAAGGATATGCAGTATCATCAGAGCAGAGTTACACTGCCATAAGCCAGGTAATGCCCAAGATTACCAGCAACCACCAACAACCAGGAGAGAAGCATGGAACAATTTCTCCCTCAGGTCCTCCAGAACTAACCAACCTGATTTCAGGTTCCAGCCTTCATCACTGTGAGAGAATAAATTTCTGTTTTTTTAAGCTACCGAGTTTGTGGTGCTTTGTTATGGAAGATTCAGGAAACTAACACACAACAAATAAATTATTTTGAAAAATGAGGTGTTTTCTGAAGCCATATTATTAACACTGTAAGATAGATTACCTTGCCACAATAATATGGCAACCTAATCCCCCAAGGTCTGGTAAAGCTCTTACTAACCTTAGAAAAAATTGTAAAAAGTAATCTGAATACTATTTTTTAAATATATATCTATCTTTAAACAAGGTTACACAGGCTATTTGATAATTCTTGACAGTCAGAAATCAATTCCTATTCAATGAGTTTTCCTAAATGGAAGAAAATGAATCATGGAACCCTTACTGGGCATAAGGTTTAGAAAGAATGTAAAGGCAGATGGCCCTGTCTGACATTAGCTGTCATCTTTGCCTCCAAACAGATGCTAAGGAAGAAGCTGAAAACACATTACAGTGTCTGACACAGTGTTAGTTTAAGCATGTGCCTAAGATGCTAATATGGGTTATGAGAAAATGGGGCCTCCTAGCCAAAGTTTTGCAAATTCTAAGCTAAAAAAAATTAAAAATATTTTTCATGATAGGACATATGAGGCTCATTAGTGTGCTGATGTATATCATGATACATTAAAACAGAAGATAGCAGACTCTTTTCCGTGTTTATTTTACTCTAGAATCTTCTGTTAAGAGAGTTTCATGAAACTGAGCCTCCATGAACTCACTTCAGGGGATAAGCTACTTAGAATATTGCTTCTATTGATGCTTCATTGGGTCAGTTTGGAAGGGATGCATCTCTCCCTATCTTGTATACATTTTGTTTATTTTCCCCCATCTTTCTGTTTTTAACCTTCTAACCTTTAAAAAGATGTTACCTTTGACCCACAGTTACTTCCCATCTCTATTGTGTATGCTTTAGGATCTAAGATGTCCTATTCAATATAAAATTTAAAAAATCACGTTAAGTAGTCTTTCATTCTTGATTCACCAAATTATTGCTACCATAATGCTTTATCTTCTAAATCATTTCTATTTTCTTTAATGTTTATATGAAGACTGTTTATTGGCATGGAACCTTAAGAAGCAGCTGATATTCAACTTATGAAAGTGGCCATTCCATATGGTTCAACCTAATACACTAATGTTATTTAAGAATCAACACAGTTTTCAAGATAGTTGATTTATCAAAGAGCCTTAGCCACTGCAGGAATTTGGCTTAATGCTTTTATAAATAGTCTAGGTGGTTGACAGGAAGATCACTTTTGCTTATAAATGATACCCAGTTGGCCAAGATTGACAGTATCTTGTAGGGCCAGGTAGGAATGCAAAATGATGCAATCAATGTGACGAAGCAATGTGTACCGAATAGAATGAATTTCAATTAAGATACTTGCAAGGTTTTGTTTATAAAATAGAATAATTAATTTTATAAATGCAACAGAAATAGGAACATTTACATGGACTGGGACACATAACGAGCAGTTTTAAAGTCACAGCCAATCACAGATTCAGGCTCTGCCGAACATGCCCAGATGGGCAGCTTCCAAGCCGTTCGTACTGACCAACCATCTGGACCTTATCCCTTGGATTTCAGCTACCATGTTGAATCGGATCCATGACTTCATGTGGCCTGTGAATTTTAGACATTTAGACATAGTAATATTGTCTTGAGTAATGTATGTACACTCTTACTGTAACTCATTCAAAACCTGTTCAACTTTCAAGGGCCAGTTAACTGTCAAGGAAGTCCAGAAAGTCTCTACTCTTATGTCTATAGGTCACAGACTATATCGCTCAACTTAACTCAAGGTGACAATCACTTTTGGCTGAAATCACATCAGCTTCTTTGTGTATTAGCCTTGACTTTGAAGTTTGTAAGTTCTTTGAGGACAAGGACTAAGTACTGCACATGTTTTGTACTTCTGTCAGACTAATGTGCAATCAGTAAAAACTAGTGGGCTTCATCAAGCAGTACTTAATAACGTTACTGATCACAACAATGAAAACAACATACATTAAAGCAAAATGACTATTGAGAACATTGAAGATTGAGAAATTTCTGTGGAGGTGGATGAACATGAAACAAAATATATACATATTTTATGACCATATTACTGAAGTTGGTATATAATATATCCATAAATTTCAATACATGCTTAATTCGAGTAACTGTAAGGCCAGTGTTTAGTAGAGTTTCATGTAAGAATCTTCATTCAAGGTTTGTGGTTTAGTGTGTTATGTAAAATACAGTTAAGTAGAAGTATTTTTTCATTGGACTTTTGTCTCTTAAGTACTGAGATGCTGGATAGAATGTTTTTTCAGTGCTGAATTTTCTGACCATGTGATTTATTATGCTTTTTAATGTATTATCCTAATGTCTTCATAAATTAATGTTTTCACAATCATTTATCAGTTGATTATTGAAATAAAATTTTCACATTCCATTGCATTTTATATAATAGCACTACCCCTCAGCCACTGTGATATACATGAGTTTCAATTTATTATAGCTCAGTCCCAAATCAATGTCACTGTTAAGAGTATGTGTTATAGTAATGGTTATCTTTGGAAAACAATTTGAGTCTGACTAGATGTTGTTCAATCCTCAGGTCATGGTAAGTGTGACTGTGGCAAGTGCAAGTGTGACCAGGGATGGTATGGGGATGCTTGCCAGTACCCAACTAACTGTGACTTGACAAAGAAGAAAAGTAACCAAATGTGCAAGAATTCACAAGACATCATCTGCTCTAATGCAGGTAAGAAGTATACCCTGTGAAAATGCTTAAGTGAAATAATCAAATTTTGTTTTTAATGGAAATATGTGGGCATGGAGAAATGTCGAATCTCTGAGTGAGTCTGCTTTTGAGTGTGTTTTTTAGAAGTGAAATTTAGATAAATCAATAGAAAAAAATGCCATCTTGCTGAGACAGGCAAGTCTGATACTTTCCAGCTGTTCCAAATGCCTTCTTCTAGCAGGATATTCACTGGAAACAACATCCCAACAACATTTTACGTAAATTGTGAGCCATGATATTGAATACCGGATTACATCTGTTAAAAGGGATTTATATAAACCGACTTAATTATTTTCTGTTACAGATCAAGGGTGCTTTGAATTTTTACCTTCACAAAATAGAACCAAATACTTTAAGTCTGATAGAAGTTTCAGATATACTGGTTATAAACTCCTTGAAGGGTATAGTCTCAGAAAGATTTTTTGTTTGATCAAAATATTTTTTGTTTTATAGAAGTTATTCGAAAATATTTTTTACAAAATTATAGAGATGCTATTAAAATTGATTATCAAAATCATATAAAAGAGTTGCAGTTTAGGTTTCAATGGTATTTAGCGAGTGTTACCTAAATTAAATACTATTTTTACATTTGGGCAGGTGAAACCTCAAAATCAGTTTTTCTCAACCGTGGTTGAACATCAGCATCCCAAGGGGAAAGGAATAAACCGTCAGTTCTCATGTAGTACACCAGAGGTTCTGTTTCAAGTGCTTTGGTGTGTGGCCTTGACTTTGGTGGTTTTTTTTAAAGCTCTCTGGGTGATTTTAATATAGATCGAGTGTGCGACCCATTGCTGTAAATGCTAAAGGTGAGGATTTGACTTCACGAATGAATACCTTTCCTCCTGAAGCTCACATTGTTGGTAGGGCCCACCTCTAACCAGAGCTGAGAACTCCCCACAGTCTGATTGCAACAGATTGTGTGTTTCAGACTGAACTCAGTAAAGGTGCTTTGCTGATAGGAATCAGGACCATATCCAAAGCGAGGTGTGAGTGGATCCGTCAGGGGTCATGACAAATGGTCTTAGCGGTTAGGTCCCTTTCTGTGTTCATGATGTTCTCATCATATTTCTCTAGCACTTCAGTCTTTCTTTCTTAGTAGGATTTCTCTACTTCCAATTCATAACACCCACCCCTCCAAACACACACACACACACACACACACACACACACACACACACACCCCATAGCGTCTTTCATCTTGAAAAAATTCTTTTCAAATTTATTTCAGAAACAAGACCTGAATTCCGTTTTGGGTTTGAAATCTATTTTTGGATTTATTTATTTGTTGTTTGCAAATCAAATTTAGGGCTTTATTTTTTAAAGAACATTATAATCAAATGTAGTCTAGGATTCTAAAGATGTTTAATATTAAGGAATCTAAACATGTAATTCACCACATTAACATATCTTAAAGGAGAAAACATACAGAAGTGTTTCAGTGGATGATAAAACATATTCAATAAAATATAAATGCATTTCTAGGACATCTGTACTCTCTCATTTTTTAAGCATGGATGCAATACCTTTATTCATAATCTGGTTTAGTCAAGTGACCCAATAGTGTCCTCTATAGCATTTTTCTCTCCTTGCAGGATTCAGTCTATTGAAAATGTTATGTTTATATCTCTCTTTAGCCTTCCTTAAGCTGGGCCATTTCCACAGACTTTGCCTTTGGAGCATTGAAACTTGTGAAGAAAGTTGTCCCCATTTTATTAAAAGGAAAGTGTACTTATCTTGGATTTGTCTTATGTCTCCCATGATTAGATTCATCATACACATTCTGAGGTAAAGCACTGGAGAAATGGATTCATGTTCTCAAAATGTTTCATATGGAAGCACATGATGTCAGTTTTGATAAGATGGTCAAGGTGTTGGCTGGTGTCTTAACTGTGTTATTTTTGACTTTCTTCACAAATGTGCATTCTATGAGGAAACACTTTAAAAGCATACATGTATCACATTCCTCACTAAAATTACCCTAAATTTATCATCCACTGATGACAATAACCTGATGCAGTATTGACAACGATGACTGGAAAATGATGATTTAAGAACTTAACATTCTCTCCGAATGGACTAGTTGGCACTCAGCATTCTATCACAAACAGGAATCCTCTCTCATTTACCAGTTATTTGATATGTCATTTACTTAGTGACTTATTATCAGTCTAGAAGCACAATTCTTATTATTTCAGTGATTTGTTATTCATTTTGTACATAATTATTCTGGTGCACAGAGTTTTCCAGATTAGGTATTAGAGCCTGTCGGGCTAGCTTTTGTGTTTTTGTGACATGCCTCCCTTGTTTTTTTGTTTTTGTTTTGTTTTTGCAATTCTTTACTTGTTGGCATAATAACACATTCCAGGGTCATATTGGACCAGCTTCACCACACCTTTGGAATCAGCCACTTATCCAAATAGCCCTGATTCCTTATAGTGAAAATGGTATTTGAATAAAAATTGTGAGCACTAGGGATGCTTATTTCCACTGGAGTGTATTTGTTTCTTGGCCCTTTCTGCAAACAGGCTTGTGTCAAAAAGGTAGATTGAATCATAATACAATTTTTATTTTATCTGAGCAAACAATGATTCGTGAATCAGGCAGCTCCAAATCAGAAGTGGTTCAGGAGCTTCATTGAGGGAATGCAAGTGGGAGACTTTTATAGGGTGAACAGAAAAAGAAAGCAAAGAAAAATAGTTGATTGGCTAACATTATATGGTTGCCTTATTTAGTCTATCCTTTTGGAAGGTCCCTAGTTATATAATTATAAGTTTGTTTGTTGCTTCTGATTGGTTAAACTTAAATTCTGTTCTTCTTTAATGTAGACATTTACAAGATATAACTTAAGGTAAGTTTCACTTATTTTTGAGTATCAGGCAAAGTTAGGATTGTTTATGGGGCCTCAATGGCTTAGTCTGCTCAGGGATTCTTTAGGCCTTGTCTCCATTTTAATTTATCTTGACACTAGTAAATATATGCCTGTGCATATACACACAAATATATATACACATACCTGCACACAGATATGCATGTACACATACATGCATATTTTAGAAATCATGAATTTACACCAGTACATCTAATTCCAGTCCAACCTCACAGGATTACTTCTTGTTTTCTCCATTCCATATTTGCATGTCCCATTTTCACATGGAGAACCCTGTCTCCCAATACCTCCAACATATTTACTTATTTGCTCAATCCTATACTACATCTCTAGTTACTTCTAGAAGTGCTGCAGACACACCACTAGACCAAGAAAATCTACCAGAAGAGATTAGGATTTGCAGTCCACCCCTCTCCACTTCCCCCGACTCAGTGTACCTCAATCATGCCCAAGATTGGGGTATGTAGTCGAATGCTGTGTTATAAGTTACTCAGACTTATTTTATTTTCTTCTCTTTTCGTGTGGTTAGGGTACTTCTTTGAAATACAAGTTAGCTTATTCAGATCACTTTCAATTTTAGGTTTTATAATCCCTTCCCATCTGTATTAATGTGTTTTATAATGTATAGTACATTAACTTGCTTCTAAAAGTCAAAGCTATGCAGAAAAGCATACTCAGAGAATCATCACTCTCTTCGTCAAGCCTTGCACCCTGCCTGTCCTCACCTTACAGATAACCACCTTTATCACTTTCTTCCTTCTCTGTGCATGTATTTCTTTTTGTGTGAAGATAAATAGAAATATTTGTGTGTTATTGTTTCCCCTTTTTTTCCAGTGCAATGGTTGTGCTTTCCATGTGTTCTTTTGCACTCTGCTTTTACCACTCAATATAATCTCCTGGAATTCACTCCAAATCAGTTCATAGAAATCCTTCGGTTATTTTTTCAAAAGCATAAGACTGGATTCTATGTATGCAATGTAATTTATTCAATTGAGCTCTTATGCTTGAGCATTTAGACAATTGTCAATATTTTGGATTGTAAATAATGCTGCACAGAATGATCTAGTGTACATATATTTTTATATTTTTGGAGGTGTATATTCAAGGCAAATTACCAGAAATGCAATTGGCCAAAGGATACATTTGAATTCAGTGTTACATTTAATCTTTTCTGTCTCATTTACTCTTATCTAAATATCTAAGCCTTTCATGTTTACTTTGGCAATCTCATTCTCCCTGTCTTTCTTTTAATACCCACTTCCACCATCCGAGTTCAGGACCACTTCCCCCAAATTGCATAAGGCTATGAAGTCTCTCTACTAATCTTTCCCTTTCATATCACAGTGTGGTTTTCTCAAGTAGTTTGGAGCAGAAGGGGAAGAGGAGTTAAATGGATTGGGGAATGAGACTGAAGGGCAGGATGAGATAGAACTGGGAACCAAAGTGTTCCAGAGGCTTACTTTCTGGGAAAACTAGAAGGGAGGTCTAGTGTGCAGAGCAGAGTGAGGCCCCAGCACCACTGCACAGGGGTGTGGGCTGCTGTACACGTCTGGTCAGTCATCCTAGAGAGAGTCAGCTCTATTGGGCACTATGAGAAATGGGGCTAAAATAATCTAGTGTAAGGCAGAAGACCAATCCTAGAGGCTGAATTAACTGGCAACCACGAGAGAGAAGCTGTGTGTCATAGCATGAGCACAGGAGTCTGGAGCTTTTGCCTGGGTGTCCATATGCCATGTCTTGGAGGCTCAGTTGTGAATTCTGTTTTATGGGTGAGACAGGAAGTCTCTGAGCTGTTGTAGACTTCCCACATCAGCCAGGAATGGTTCTGACGTGTGGATGAGAGGAAGCTGCCTATGTGGGACTTCAGTGAGGAGTCATAGAATTTGGAGACAGAGGCTGTTCCTTCCCATCTTTCCTGAAAAACTTCCCCATACACAACCCTAACTAAGTGACTTCCTGTTCTCATATTGTATATGAGAGACCCATATTATATATGGTTACATGTATAATACTTATATAGGTTTATATTTGCATTTATAAAACAAGAAAACATATGACACAAAGGCTTTTGCAA